AAACTCTGTACTTTTCATTCAATTTTGCTGTGAACCTAAAGCTACATAGACATGTTTAAAAACAAAAATAGTATGAGGTGGGTTGGGGAGGAAATGAGGAGATATAGGTAAACATATAAGGTAGCAGAAATGTGAATGAAGAAGTCGAGGGATGTAGTGCACAGCATGAGTACTATAGTAAATAAAATTGTAATGTCTTAAGGAAAAAGGAAACTGATTTTTCACAAACAACACAGATGTATAAAAGTTAAGAATACAAGCAGAACTCCAAAACCTAAAGAGTTATGGGATGCTTCACAATATAGTGGCCTCCAAGGCGACTGAATATATGTTTGTGTCCATGAGCTTAAGTGCAACAAGAAAATAATGGATTAGTGAATTGATTTAGGGATATGTCCACTTTCAAATAGTTGTCAAAATTCACATTGTCATGTCTAGTAGATAACAACTTCATTCTCTTAACAGGGGCCAACATAGGGTCTTTGACTTTGGGAGGCAAAAGTGTACATGAATGTGCTAACTGAAAACATGGGGACAGACAAAAGAGAGATTTACATTCAGATTTCTTAGAGGGGAATAGAATTAATATGAGAAAATGAAAAAATGTAAACAAAATCTTTGTAAATAGGGAAGGATGGAATTGTTGAAGGGAGGGGAGGGGAATGGGGAAAAAATAAGAACCAAGAGACTATGTAAAGGTACAAATTTCCAGTGATGAATGTCATTATATTGTATATCTAAAATGTACCAATAAAATTAATTTTACAAAGAATTTTGGTATTAATAAATAAGAATTGAACATCAACGATGATGTCTCAGCCCACTGACAGACAGGGTGAGAACTTGAAGTTTTCTTGTGAATTCAGATGAGAGTTTGACATAGATTAAAAACCAAGAACTGCTCCTAAGTTTGGCATTGACAGATACATTTATAAATAGACTGATGAGTCATATTTTTATATGATTTTTTTGGTGTGATTTAAGTGAAATTCAGACAAGAAAGGTAAAAAAGGGATAAAAGATAGCTATAGATACATACACACTTAGACTGATTGATACATTTAGATAATTTGACCAATGAACTGCAGAACCTGTGTGGGACAGTTGCATAAAGAGTTCTGTGGGGTGAAGTTGCTGCTAAGGCAGTACTCCTCCAAGTTTTATACTTGACCCATGTACATTCATTCTGGTATTTTTCATAATAATTGAACATAAAAGATATAATTTATAGTTGAGAGCTTGTAACATGGGTGTGGATACATCTTTAAGATCAATCTATCTCTTTCTTGTAGGAAAAGGTAGGCTTATCATTACTCAAAGGGAGAGAACTCAGAGAATTGAACATGTTATAACATCAGGCCAAAATAGTCTCATGGCTAAATGATATTATAATATTTAACAATTTTTATCTAGGGCTCTTTTCTGGAGAATACTCACTTGAACCTTAGTTTCAACTATTTTAATTGTTTTAATATCATTTTAGTAAACAAAAGCTAGTTAAATGTTTGATTTTGTTAAATGCTAGCTTCATTAAAGCTAAAAGGATTAATGAGGGTTAGGGTTTGCAGGTTTATAGAAACTAAATTTATGACCCTTTAGGACATTTGCAAATTAAAGTTCTGAATCATTTTGCTTGATTTAATTTTTTCTCTCAATGGGAAATTTATTTCATTTTATACCTAGGTTCTTATAGGATGATTTATAACTGTGGCCTTCTTCTGCCACATACCAGGAGTAACATTAGAAATACTAATTATAAAGCTTAATTTCTTGGCTTTTGAATAATTAAAAATTCAGGCCTATAGAAATAAATAATAATCTATCCACATAATCTGCATAGTTTGGGGAAATATATACAGTATAAACCTTTAAATGCAAAGAAGATCTGCTTTACAAGGAGATGCATAAGGGGAATTAACTTCTATAGCCTTCAAAAAAAGAGCTCTCATTCCCCTAAGGCAAGTATTTTTGAGATACAGTTCTATCACATAATTACCACCGTTTTCTTAGTTACACTTCCAGATCCCTGCTGGCTGTTTTTCTGTATAAACTAACTTTTATTTCCAATTATATCATTAAAGAGATAAGAATCAAGTTTAATTTTATAAGAACATGAAAATGATTGTCATTCCTTTATCTGTATAATTGTAACTTTGCTACATATGAAAAAGTGGCTTATTGAGGAAAAATTCAGCCTACTTGGTCAATCAATTTATTGGAATAAAGGCCAGTGCATTACAACTTTTCATTCATATCTTCCTTCATACACTCATTTCTAGATGTATGTCTTTCTTTCTTAAATCTCCAAATAAATATTTAGTAAGTATCTACTATATGAGTCATCTAGTACATGTGAGAAAGTATGGAAGATATGGATGCATGAATAAAGAAGATGTATGAATAAAGTAATTATGTACAGTCCTTCCTGAAAATTAATTAAATAAAAATGCATATCTATATGGGGAAAAGAAGTAAACCTAAATATGAAATCTGAAACTACAAATATTCTAGAAGAAAACATGATAATATATTCACAGTCTTGAAGTTGATTATGATTTTTTGGAGATGCAAAAACCAGTAACTGGGAGGGCAATGATGGGATGATGGAAATGTTTTATTTCTCAACCTTTGTGGTGGTTACAAAGTGTATGTAATGGTTAAAAACAAAACAAAACTGAAGTGTTCTCTCAGAATCTGCATATCACTTGTTATCAATGATGCTTCAATAAAACAGCACTTAACAATCCACTCACTTCAGACTAACAAAAGGAAAAAAAGAAATTTATTTCCCCAATATGACAAGTGCCATAGCAATTTATGAAAAAAAATTTGTGAAAAGAGTCTAAGTCTTTTTCATCTCATTATCATAAATATAAGGCGGAGGATATACATACACGAGACAAATATTCAGGCAAATTTTTAGAACTCATATCATGATAACGTAAAGCAAGAAAGGATGCCTTAATGTACAAATAAAATAGGCATAGAGCCAAGTAATTTCTAATTTATATTAAACAGGACACAATGGATAGTAATCCCTCCTTTTAATAATTATTTACTGCATTTCTATTATCTGGCATAGGGCAGATGTATAGGAGCAAGCGTGAAAGAGATACTGAAAAATACATCAGATAGTCATAAAGCTCCAACTTTGGTGAGAGAGGGTAAGGTATAATGAATGTGTGTGTGAGTATGTATACACATATGAACTGAGGAAATTATAGACAACAAGCTCTTAGAAAACTTTCACTGTAGTACAGTGTCTTGGCTAAAAACTTCTATATTACTTCTGAATTGTGAGCACATAACCTACTAATTGCTTCCTTAGAAGGGAAAGAATTAAAAAGAATGAGAAGAAAGTGGTAAAAGATTCAAGCTGCAAATAGAATAGAAAAGTTAGAGGAGGAAATAATTTGAGAAAATGATTAAAAAAACAAGGCATATTCAGGTAATTGGATGTTACTCAAGACTGAAGTAAAAGCTTAGGGATAGAGGGATAAACGTGAAGTTGAAAAGAAAGACAAGAACAATAACATGAAGATTATACATATTGTTGAAGCATTTGGCCTCTTTTTAAAAATATTCTGACCTACTTATAAAAATGTAATATAAACTATTACTTTATTTTATTTATTATCACTTAATATATAGCAATAATTTTTAATAATTTGTTGCCAAATACTCTAATAAGTAGATAAGATCAAGGCATTCCTGGGCTAAAAGTAACTTAAAAGTATAAAGTCTGACTCAGATTTGGAAGAAAGTCTGGACCACTGGTCTCTACATGTCCATCTGGAACTCATGGAGTATATTTTCTATATTTATTATATAAATTTTGCTCTTTGAGATTCATATTCAGCAGAGCAAAAGTGAAGTTTGGTAATCTGTATTTCTAGAAAACTCCCTTGAAAATTTTGTTCCATGGGCAGTTTGGAACTACTGATGTTAAATACCTTTTTAAATTCCTCAAAATCCTTAAAGCAGATTATTATCACATTTTTATGATTTATATTAAAATAGAACACAAAAATATTTTGACATGACATACAGCTTAGTACTTCATGGTAAAAGACAAATGGCTGAGTTATGTGTCTTCAACAGTATCATTCACTACCTAGTCTAAGTTTTCCCTGCTGCAATGATTCTATTTTATCTGGGTAAAAAAATCTAATAGGATCATCTACAAACTTATTAATACGGTCCTATGTGTTAGGTCCATTTAATCCATTTCTACAACAGTGCAAACTAGTTTGAAGACTTAAGCTACATATTCACTTTTTAATTATTTAAATACATTCAGTATTACAAATTTTTTAAAAATAAGTATAAAAAGATAAAATAGCTGTTTATATTTAATAACTACTCATTTCTACTTTAGAGTCCATGTTATTTGCAAAGTATACATCAACTTAAAGTTTTTAAAGCTAAATTATGATAAACAATAAATCAAATTCTTATTAACTTCACTTAACATTATGGTCAGAAGGCACACCCATTTTCCTACATATGACTCAAACGTGGTGTGGAAATCCCACATTTGCTTTATCCTTTCATCTGTTGAAGGACACATAAGTGGCTTTCAAGATTTAGTTATTATGAATTGTGCAGCTATAAACATGGGTATATATGGATCACTGGGTCTGTGAAACTCAGAGTAAAAATAAAAGATGGATAATAGAAGGTAGATAGACAGATCTTTCTTGAAGAAGAAGGGATCAGGAGATGAAGGAAAGTAGGAAGGAGTGGGATAGGGAACACAAAAAGGAATTGGGCTGTGTCATGTACATGTATCAACTCCAAATAAAGAATGTAAACATTATGTACTGCAAGCAACAAAAAAAGGAAAGGGATCAAGAAATGTAAACATGTTCTACCCACATGCATTGATACATAAAATAAAATTTAAAAAATAAGTCTGAGTCATTTTTATTTCTTAACCAAATTCTTGAGGAATGCACTGTGCATTGCCCATGAAAGTACCTCATCCTATGGGTAGTTACCTGTATGATACTGTCTCCAGGTCTCATGTCTGTATAAACGTAGATATCATAGGATATTTCAGGGAAGGTGGGGGTGTTATCATTCGCATCCAACACTCGAATATTGACCACAACTGGCTCACTTTCTTGTACACCATCAAATGCTGTTATCTTTGGGGAAAGAAAAGTAAATTTAACAGAGAAATCATGTAACTATAAGCAGTACAGATTCTACTCTCATAACAATAAATTTTATATGTGATTTACCATTGTAAAAGGGTGCATATATATTTTGTTGATAAAAAGAACTAATAAAATGTGATATTACAAATACAAAAAACAGATTCAATGTGCTAAGAAGAAATTATTTAGGATTCTGTATTGTTTTTAAGGCACTAAAACTCCAAACACATTTTAAATAAGCAGATATGCAAAGTGGCTTCAAGTGAGCCAAAAGCATTACTTATCCTTAATAGCCAAGCACAATTTAATGTTTAAGATATTAATTGAAAAATATTTTCTACATTTACATATTTTGTATTCAATAGTTTCTTTTTCTAGCCAATGTGCATGCATCAGTCAAGAAGGTAGATGCCCTAGATATGTTAAATTACATTTCAGTAATACACAAAATGGTATTTTAAAGGATCTGTTGCCATGTGTTGCTAGTGATATCTTACATTATTAGCAAATTAAAACAGCCTGACAAATGAAATCATTGCTACATCCATCAGACAACCATACCTGTCTGAACGACTTTTGAAATCTACTATATGGTTAAGTTTTATGTTTCCTGGAAACTCTGACCTTCTGCTTTGTAAGGATCACCAGAAAAACCTGAGTAAATTCCATAAACTGTACATTTGTATCATCTCATTTTTCATTTCTCTCATATTTTCCTCAAGAACTTGGCTCTAGGTGAAACAGTTTTCATTTATTATATATTTATATTAATATAATATATTTATATTTATTTATATCTCTTTATATATACAGTATATGCCTGTATTTTTAATATTGACATTTTGTCTGATCTTACCTGAAATGTTAAGTTTTTCCCCATAAATTATTGATCTCTTCAGTTTTAATCAGACATCTTTTTTCAGCTACATTAATACAGGCATACGTATATATGAAATCTTTTTACCGAAAAGGTGTAAAATTGCTGTTCTTCTCTGTCCACTGGTTGAAGCAGTGTGAGGTAGCGAATAATACCCATCTGTGTGACGGTGAAGACTGACGTGTAGTCATTCAGAAAAAGGTGAAGCTCTGGGTCTTTCGTCTTTGAAAAAAAAATACATTACTTAAATTGTCAATTAAATAATGCAGCTATGTGTTTATCACTTTAAATTAATTATGTATATTAGTATTTCTAAAGAAAAAAAGAGATTTAAGTAGATGCTTACTCATAAATTATCCAAAGAAAGTGAGCTATAATGTGGAATACAGAATACTGAAAAACTAATGTGAACAAAAGAAAAAACAGGAAGAAGGAAAGAGTATAAAATAACTCACTTGAATATATTCTTGCTTGTTACTTAATATTTATGTTTTCTATAACTTTATTGGATTAAAAAAATAAAGACAACAAAAGGATATTGGAACCAGTATTTTAGCTCTACAATTTTGCAATTACTTTATTTATAGTAATAAACTTCACATATGCATACTGCTATTGTGTTTTCACTTATAATGTAAACTAGAATTACAATTGCTTATGTATTATTCATTACCTATAAATATTATGCTGGTCTTTCTCATTGTAATACACTAAAGTTTCTCCAAAGAGAAGCATAATAT